AAAATTAATAAAACATATATATGGGAGCTATAGCTGTCTCTGAACCGATTTTCTCCAAATTTGTTGTATTTGCTTTAAGGCTAATCTCGGTCACATATGCCAAAATTCGGGCCATTTGGGCTGATATTGGCCATTTGGTGGTCAATTAACCCGAAATCGGATGAAGATATATATGGGAGCTATATCCAAATCTGAACCGATTTCGATAAAATTTAAAACAGCTATTTCTGTGCTCCATCTAATACCTGGTACCAAATATCACGGTTGTGGAGTGCATAGTAGGAATGTGAGGGACTTCAAGATCAAATCGGATGAAAGATATATATGGGAGCTATAGCTATATCTGAACCGATTTTCTCCAAATTTGATATACTTGCTTCTAGGCCGAACTCGGTTGGGTGTGCCAAAATTCAGGTAATTTGGACTGATAGTGGACATTTGGTGCACATTTAACCCGAAATCGGATGAAGATATATATGGGAGCTATATCTAAATTTGATCCGATTCTCACCAAATTCAATAGGGTTCGTCCTTGGGCCAAAAAAATATTGTTTGGAAAATTTCATCTCAATCGGATAATAAATGCGACCTGCATTTTGTTCACAAGAATACATGGACAGACGGACGGACGGACGGACGGACGGACGGACAGACGGACTGACATGCATAAATCGACTCAGAAAGTGATTCTATGAAGGTTCTCAAAAGTAACTATGGGTCTATCTCGTTTCCTTCTCCATGTTACAAACAAATGCACAAAGACATAATACCCTTACCACTATGTGGTGTAGGGTATAAAAATTCAAAATTATTTTCAATATTTTGCCCATAACAATTTGAAATAAACTATCATGGCCCTGAAGCTGATGGCAGCATTTGCGAGCAATTTAGAAAATTCAAAATGTTCACTCTCACTCTCTCTCTCTCTCTCTCTCTCTCTCTCTCTTTGATTCGGGTAGTCAGGAAGCTCATTGAAATAAAATTTATTACGCCATTCAGCTTTTGTAAATTGTAACGGAAATTAGGCATTAAAGAGAAACAGCAGCAACAAAAATAATGTTTTCAATTTTTGTTTTTTTTTTCTAAATCAAAGGAAACAAATGAACTTTTTGGAATCTGTTGTGTTCTAGTGAAACACATTTGTTTTCGGCCAATAATTTCTGGCATTTTCCTTGCTTAGGTGGCCTGGCAAGGGTAAGTGAATATTTATTTCCTTTGAAGGAAAGAAAAACAACAACGAAAAAAACATAAAATTTTATAGAGCAGAAATTTTCATTTTTATTTCGGGTGAAAATATTTCGGCTCCTTTGATTCCAAAGGTGGAAAGGAGAGATACCATAAAAATTCATTAACTGGAAAAATAGGAAAAAATACGAGAAACAGAAAAATATCGAAAAATGATACACCTTGCCACCCGGTGATGAAGAGAGAGAGAGACAAACAAAGAGAGAGCGAGAAAGGGGAGCTTATGGCAACCCCATTAAACAGGATTTCTTTATGCCATCAATTCATGGCTAATTTACACATTCACACCCATCATTGTCAACATGCTCATCTTCATCGTCATCCTCATCATCACCGTTATCAGCCACAACCTGGGCTGTTGATCTCCGGCCGGCTTTATTGCCCTGGCCTACTCCTGCTGAGCTGTCGATTGTTATCACCTTGTGTCTCTGTTAAGACCAAACGAAAAAAAACCCTGAAAAATTCTTCCTTTATTCAGGATAAAATGAACAGCAATTTTTCATTTCTTTCTTTTTTTTCCTCTGTTCATTTTCTTAGCTCAAAATGTTTGGGGAGAAAAAATCTCTGCACTTGTTGTTGTTGGTTTATTGGGAAAATCGCAAAAAAGTTTTGTTCCTTTGGAATGTATGTTTTTTTGAGGATAACTGCAAAGAACAAGTCGTCAATTCACAAAAGAATTTTCACAGTTAGCATCACCGGCATGAATAGGATTATGGATTTTAATATGCCATATCTCCAAAAGCAGGAGTGTGTTTGAAGGTTTCTTTTTCTCTGTGTGTGTGTAAATGCCTTTATATGTTGTCGGCATTTTTTCCGCATGTTAAACCCAGACATAAATGTAAGGATTCTTGATTTGGCATTTTTACACAGGAATTAAGGAGAAATCAAGGAGGTTGTGATATGGAGGAAATGTAAATATTTAAAAAAAAAAGTTTCAAAGAAATGAAAAAGGAAGATAAATAAAAAGAAATAGAAAAAGGGAGAGAAAGAAGGGAGAGAGAAAGCGAAAGGCAGTCTTTATAGACGAGCTGGAGGCCAGGGTGTAATTATTGATGAGCTGGAGGCCCAGGGAGTCTTTATAGACGAGCTGGAGGCCAGAGAGTCTTTATAGACGAGCTGGAGGCCCAGGGCGTCTTTATAGACGAGCTGGAGGTCAAGGGTGTATTTATAGATGAGCTGGAGACCAGGGAATATTTATAAACGAGGTATAGGCCAGGGAGTCTGTATAGCAAGCTGGAGGCCAGGGAGTCTTTATAGACGAGCTGGAGGCCAGGGAGTCTGTATAGATGAGCTGGAGGTCAAGGGAGTCTTTATAGACGAGCTGGAGGCCAGGGAGTCTTTATAGACGAGCTGGAGGCCAGGGAATCTTTATAGACGAGTTGGAGACCCAAGGAGTCTTTATAGACGAGCTGGAGACCCAGGGAATCTTTATAGATGAGCTTGAGGACAGGGCGTCTGTATAGATGAGCTGGAGACCCAGGGAACCTTTATAGACGAGCTGGAGGACAGGGAGTCTGTATAGATGAGCTGGAGGTCAAGGGAGTCTTTATAGATGAGCTGGAGGCCAATGAATCTTTATAGACGAGCTGGCGGCCAGGGAGTCCTTATAGAGTCTTTATAGACGAGCTGGAGGTGAGGGAGTCTTTATAGACGAGCTGGAGGTGAGGGAGTCTTTATAGACGAGCTGGAGGCCAGGGAGTCTTTATAGACGAGCTGGAGGCTAGGGAGTCTGTATATACGAGCTGGAGGTGAGGGAGTCTTTATAGACGAGCTGGAGGCCAGTAAATCTTTATAGAAGAGCTGGAGGCCAAGAAGTCTTTATAGACGAGCTGTAGGCCAGAGAGTCGTTATAGACGACCTGGAGGCCAGAGAGTCTTTACAAACGAGCTGGAGGCCAAGGAGTTTTTATAGACGAGGTGGAGGTCAAGAGAGTTTTTTTAGACGAAGTGGAAGGCCAAGGAGTCTTCATAGATGAGATGGAGGCCAGGGAGTCCTTATAGACGAGCTGGATGCCAGGGAGTCTTTGTGAACAAGCTGGGAGCCGGGATGTCGTTAGAGACGAGCTGGTAGCCAAGGAGTCTTTGAAGACGAGTTGCAGGCCAGCTGGTCTCTATAGACTAGCTGGAGGGCCAGCTTGTCCCTATAGACGAGGCTGGAGGCCAGCTGGTCTCTTCTAGGCTAGCTAGAGGTCAGCTGTTCTCTTCTAGGCTAGCTAGAGGCCAGCTGGTCTATTCTAGGCTAGCTAGAGGCCAGCTGGTCTATTCTAGGCTAGCTAGAGGCCAGCTGGTTCCTTCTAGGCCAGCTGGTCTCTTCTAGGCCAGCTAGACCTAGGTCTCTTCTAGGCCAGCTGGTCTCTTCTAGACTAGCTAGAGGCCAGCTGGTCTCTTCAAGGCTAGCTGGAGGGCAGCTGGTCTCTTCTAGGCTAGCTGGAGGCCAGCTGGTCTCTTCTAGGCTAGCTGGAGGCCAGCTGGTCTCTTCTAGACTAGCTGGAGGCCAGCTGGTCTCTTCTAGACTCGCTGGAGGGCCAGCTGGTCTCTTCTAGACTCGCTGGAGGGCCAGCTGGTCTCTTCTAGACTCGCTGGAGGGCCAGCTGGTCTCTTCTAGACTAGCTGGAGTGCCAGCTGGTCTCTTCTAAGCTAGCTGGATGGCCAGCTGGTCTCTTCTAAACTAGCTGGAGGCCCAGCTGGTCTCTTCTAGACTAGCTGGAGGCCGGCTGGTCTCTTCTAGACTAGCTGGAGGCCAGCTGGTCTCTTCTAGACTAGCTGGAGGCCAGCTGGTCTCTTCTAGACTAGCTGGAGGCCAGCTGGTCTCTTCTAGATGAGCAGAATGCCAGCTGGTCTCTCCTAGACTAGCTAAAGCCTGGCTGGACACCGGAGGGATTCCCAGGACCTCATGGGGGAATCCCTGGAGCCATAGGGGAACCCCTGGGGGCCATAGGGGAATCCCTGAAGCCCATAAAGGAACCCCTGGGCCCATAGGGGAATCTCCTTGGGTCCATGGGGTTGTTGTTGTTGTAACAGTAGTACATGCATGTGTTCGCGTTCTGCTAAACTGTGCAACCGGTGCAATTAAAGAGGTTTGGGCCCATAGGGTAATTCCCCGGGGTTCATAGGGGAATGCCCTGGGATCCATAGGGGAATGCCCTGGGATCCATAGGGGAATGCCCCTGGGGTCCATAGGGGGATTTTTTGGGGCTCATAGGGAAGTATCTCGGACCCATGGGGTCTACTTCGGTCATCCAACTCTGCTATATAAGGGCACAGGCCTCTTCCGAATTTTTCTAGTTATTCTCGAATTGAGCTAGCTATTGATTTTTTTTTAAGTCCACGACAATACCTCTTTTCGTTCTTGAAAAAGTCTTTTTTTCTAATCTGCGACAGAAGCTCTGTTCGTCCTTGAAAAATATTTTTTTTTTTTAAATCCACAGCTATAGCTCTGCTTGTCCTTTAAAAATAGAGGATTTTGGCACTATTTATCCTTAACTAAATATTAAACCTCATCGAACCTCATCCAAAAGTTTCCTTTCAGTTCTCCATTATGCTCCTCATATGTAAACATATCATACACGTCCTTCTCCCTTCCCCCACCACACTTCCACATCAGTCAATAAAGACTTTTTCCCCCTCCTCACCTACAAAGCCATCAAAGACCCCTCTGGGTTCAACAAATATTTTTCAATTTTCTATTTTTTTTTCTCTTTTGACTAAATTCCTTATTAATTTTCTCTTTCTCATATTCTTCTTTTTCCCACGCAGCTCAAAGAATACGAACTAAGTGAAGTTTTCAACTTCGCCGAAGATGACCGAAAATACGAGACCGTCAAGACGCAAACGCATCTGGAAATGGAACACAATCATGTCGAAATGAATAACGAACTGTCGGCGAGTATAGAACGGGAGAGGCAAAACGAGATTGGGCCGGCACAGCCGACAAGGGCATCGGAAAGAGATCGCATACGATCGAAGCTGTTGGAGAAAATGAATCCAATGTGAGTATAAGAGAAATTCAAAAATGTTAATGTTTTCTGGTTGGCCACAAGACCGTCACCCTGATGCGTAAATAGATAACAGCCAATGCCAGGGAAGTACCTTTGACGGACAGTTGGTGCGCCATAAAAAAATTGGAGTTTAAATGATAAGATAAAAAATATTTGATAATTGGTTTTTATCATACAGTTTTCGGTGAGGGTACTTTTTCGGAATTTTATGAAAAAAAAATTGAAAATCACCACGACACACATAATTACCGACTCTGATTGATTTGTAATTAAATCCCAAAGATTTCCCACATTTTGTTATCTATGAAAACCACAAAAATGTCGACTAATATCCAGTGCTTGACGGGCTGGTCAGTTGACGCACATTTTGTTTGATGTGCAAAGGCGGTGGCGCTGTTAGTTCAGTAGTTAACTCGGAAGCACTCAAACCACTCAAATTAGCTAGCTCTCCGTAGGAGCAGCTTTCCTTTTTCCTTTTTCCATCTACAAATCCCCTTAAAAATGCCACCACCAGGACGTCAGGGACGTATGATGGGTGGCCCACCACCATATGGCGGACCACCGGGCTTCAGACCTGGCCCTGGACCAGCATTTGGACCACCACCCCCAGGACCTGGATTTGGACCACCACCACCTCGACCCGGAGTAGGAGTTGGAGTTAATATCAACATTGGCGCCCGGCCGCCACCACCACCCGGTGTTGTGGTGGTAGGTGGCATGGCTCCACCACCTCCAGTTATTGCCGTCGGTGCTATGGCTCCACCACCACCCGTTATTGCTGTTGGTGCTGCTGCACCAGCGCCTGCTGTTGCCGTGGGGGTGGCCGCACCCCGACCCACAGCCGTCGTCTATTCCAGTGGGGGTTGTTGTGCAATTTTATGAAATTTTCAATAAAAAATTATATAAATTATTCGGTTTAGAAAAAAAAATTGGTAGCGAATAAATTTTAATATTAAGTATTGTCCTGTGATGTGTGCGGTTGTATGTGTGCGTGTGTTATATGTAAATGTTATTTGTATGAATGACATAAATAAAATAAAAAAATATAAAAAGACATAAAAACTTAAAAAAAATATAAAAAAATAAAAAAAATAAAACTATGAACAAAAAATGGTAAAAAAATAATTCACAAGAGTCTTTATAGTCGAGCTGGAGTCCAGGAAGTCTTTATAGTAAAGCTAGAGACCAGGGAGTCTTTATAGACCAGCTGCAGGGCATGGTGTATTTATAGATGAGCTGGAGATCCAGTTAGTCTTTATAGACGAGCTGATGGCCAAGGAAGTAATTATAGACGAGCTGGAGGTCAGGGTGTCTTTATAGACGTGCTGCAGGCCAGTGAGGCTTTATAGACGAATCGGAGGGCAGGCAGTCTTTACAGACGAGCTGGAGGCCAGGAAGTCTTTATAGTAAAATTAGAGGCCAGCGAGTTTTTATAGATGAGCTGGAGATCCAGTAAGTCTTTATAGACGAGCTGATGGCCAAGGGAGTAATTATAGACGAATCGGAGGGCAGGGAGTATTTATAGACGAGCTGGAGCCCAGGGAGTCTTTATAGATGAGCTGGAGGTTATAGAGTCTTTATAGGGAGTTTTTATAGGCAAGTCTTTATAGACGACCTAGAGGCCAAGAAGTATTTATAAACGAGCAGTAGGCCAGAATAGGTATAGGCCAGAGAGTAGTTATAGACGAGTTTGAGGCCAGAGAGTCCTTAGAGACGAGCTGGAGCCCAAAGTCTCTTTATAGTCAAAACTGGAGGCCGGGTGGTCTCTATAAATGAGCTGGATATTCCTTACCGTTCAAGAAAAAAATATTGGAAAAGATTTACAAAACTTCACAATTACAGCTTAATTTGAGCTTAAAAATGCTTAGAAATAAAAAAAAATAAATAAATAAATTTTAAAAATCCCCCACTTTAAGATAATACTCGTTTTAAAAATATTTTTAAAAATTTACAAAAAAAATCCTCTGAGAAATATTAAAAAATAAATGCTGGAGGACCTGTTCGTCCTTCAAACAAAAATCCATGAAGTTATAATTTCTTTTTCTTAAGAAAATATTCTTAAAATCTACAAAAAAAATCATTTAAAAAATATGTAAAGAAATTCTAAAAAAATGAAAAAAAATGTAAAAAATCCAAGACTATAAACTCGTTCATCCTTCATGAAAATCCAAGAAATAGATATTTGAATAGTTAAAAAGAATTAAAAATTATTCATAAAAATAGGTACGAAAATCTAAGATTACAATCCTGTTCGTTCTTCAAAAAATATTTTCGAAAATTCAAGAAGAAATCATTTTAAAATCGTCTTTCAATAAAACATCCTTAAAATATCTAAAAATAAAAAAATTTAGAAAAATCAAAAAATGTATAATTATTTTTGTCCTTAAAAAAAAAAAATAAAAAAATACGCATTTAAATCCAAGAAAAAATACTTCAAGGGAATTTAAAAAAAATCTTAAACAGTATCTAAAAAGAAAGTAAAAAAATATTCTTAGAAAATAGGTAATAAATTCTAGGATTACAGTCCTTTTTGTCCCTCAAAAATATCCTCAAAATTCAAAGAAATGTTCATTGAAATCCATGATTATAACTCTGTTCTTCCTTAAAAAAAATACCCTTAAAATCTAAGAAAGTAATTGTTGAAAAAATTTGAAGAAAGATCAAAAATGTCAACTCTTTTTATCCTTAAAAAAATTTTTCTTAAAACTTTATGAAAAATTCATAAAAATGTGTGAATCCAAGATTATAGACCTGCTTGTGCTTTAATAAATATCCTCGAAAATCCATAAAAAATTCTTAAAAAATTAAAAAAAATATTCTTAAAAATAGAACTAAAAAAGTCCCTAAAAGATAGGTAAGAAGCTCTAAGATTACAGACCTAGTCGTCCTTCAAAATGTATCCTTAAAAATTCAAGAAAAGTTTTTTGAAATATTTACTATTAGAGCTCTGCTCGTCCTTAAAAAAATATCGTTAAAAAATCTAAGAAAATAAATTAAATTAAAAAAAGTTGTCAAAAAGGCAAGACTGTAAAATATGTCCTTAAAAAATATTCTACAAAATCTACAAAAAAATCTCTATAAAAAATGTAAAGAATCCGCAATTATGTAGCTGTTCGTCCTTTTCAAAAATCAAAAAAAAAAAAATGCTTGAAAAAAAAAAATAAAAAAATTTCTTTTAAAGTATTCTAAAAAAAGAAAATAATCTCCAGAAAATACTTTAAAAATTCGACGATTACAGTCCTTGTTCGTCCTTCAAAAATCCAACTAAAGATCCTCTAAAAAATCCAGGAAAATATCCTTAAAAATTTTACTGAAAAAAATTCGCGATTATTGTCCTGTTCGTCTTTTAATAAAATCTTTTCAAAATTCCAAGAAAAAACCCTGAAATATCTACTAGTATAGTTCTGTGTGCCCTTGAAGAATATTTTAAACATCCTCGAATAAAACTGTGTTTATTAATTAAAAAATCTTTGAAAAAATTAAAAAAAAAAAAAAAAATCCAAAAATGTTATCCAGTTCGTCCCTTAAAAATATCCTTAAATAATAAACCCTGATAACTTCTTTTGTCCTCCAATATTCTACAAAAAAAACTTTAAAAAATTGCTAAGCATCAAGAAAAAACGTCAAAAAATTTGTAAAAATTTCCCAATTATAGCTCACAGCTTATCTCTGTTTGTCCTCGAAAAATATTCTCAAGAAACCCACGAATAAAAATCTGTTTATCCTTGAAATATGATGATTAATAGCCTTGTGGTCATTGAAGAATATTGTCCCTCCTCTAGATAATATTCCTTAGAAACTCCAGGAATATGACCTTTTATATTTCAGAAAAACTTAGACAAAGCTACCATCCCTGTTTAATAATCCCAGGCCAATACTTTTTCATATTTAGTACTTTTTAGTACGAATTTCGGAATAATTACAGTGGAATTCAAGGGTCTGGAGGTTATCTTTGAAATATGGTATTTTAGGTTTAAATCAAACCCCCTTTTCAAACTCTTTCCTAGCAATAATTTCTTAAAAAAATTATTCTTTTAAAATTAAACTCGAAGCTTGATTAATCTCCATTTTCTTCAGTTCATTCTTAGAAAAGAAAATTACAAAAACCGAAAAAAAGAATAAAAAGAGAATGGAACATTGGAAACCAAATCAATTTGGAATTCCCAACATATATTGGCAAGAAAATTAAAAAATAACTGATTCGGAATGCATACAAGTCATTGCATTTGTACATATCGATGTGGATGGCATACATACCTACATAGCGATGTATGTATGCATATATGTGGGTATGTGTGTGCAAGAATAACAGAAGAAAATGTTTTGCGAAAACAAGGAACAAGGGAAATGTAATTGGTAACCACACACAACACTCTCACTCTTTCTCTCTCGCTCTCGCACTCTCTCTCCCTTTCCATATGTCAGTCAATGCTAACAGCTAACATTGAATGTATATATTTACATCTACTCATACATATGTATGCCATGCAATGCATGCAAATTTTTTTTATTTATTTTTTTTTTTTTTGTTAACCAAAGAAAATGAAAAAGGGAAACAGAATTGAACTAAATTAGAATTCCACAAACACAGAGATACACACACACAGACACCAACACACAGCCATTGATGGAGAAGATACCTTTACACAAATTTGTGGCCACTGTGTAAATGTTACAACCCAATTTTTTCAAAAAAAAATAAAAAATTAAAACTGTATGCAAAACACACACACACAATTACACAGAAGTAGTTTGCAATGATATCCCTTTAAAAACACAAACCAACCAGAAATAGTCTTTCCCCAACCCACCTCCTCCTCTTCCATCTCTTCTCGGGAAAACATGGATGGATGGTTGTTTTTACCGGGTAACGACGACATTGTAAAAATACATGTCAAATGGAAATTAACATGAATATGCATGCATTTTGTGTGTGTGTTGTACAACAACACCAACAAAAACATGAACACCGGTAATACTAATAACAGTTCCAATTTTCGGAACAGCAGTTCGTTTTGTAGTTCTCCAAATGGAATTTTTGTGTGCACCAAGACCGCAAAGAGAGAGAGAGGAAGAAAACGAAAACAACAACTACTACTTATCAAGTATTCTATTTGTTTGTCATGTTCGCAGATACGTGAAAGAGGGGGGAGGGGGAGGAGGAGGGACACAAACATTTATACAAATGCATTACATGTAAATGTATCTCCCCACAAATAACTGCCAAGAAATTATTTGATGAAAAATGAAAGTTGAAATAATTTTCAAATGGCAGTGGAGAACTGAAAAATCTCCTGCAGGTCGGAAATTTTTATATTAAAAAAGGAAATAATTTACCCTCAGCCATATGGCTAGAGAGAGGCTATACAGGGTGAGATGAAAAAACTGCATCCAACTTCAGACTGCTGTCATTTCTAAGCCACTCGTCCGACAGCAGTTAAAATTATTCCAAGGACAGCTCATTAGGGTGGGAATACATAAAGCGCTTATTTGACTGGGTTAAGTCATTGACTGGCTTCTTCATAGAAGAACAAAAGAGTTTTAGGTTGACTAAGTTCGATTTTAACCCAAGGCTCCTTTGTTAATTTCCGAAGAAGCCAGCCGATGACTTAAGCCAGATAAAAATAAGCGCTTTATGTATTCCGAACTTTATATTTTGTACAAGTAGTGAACTGTCGAATTTGGTTTTCTCTGAAGAGGAAACATTCGTTGTCCAGCAGTTTTTTAAACAAACAAAATTATTCGATCGTGTTTACTTGCCAAAGAGGTCAGCTGAAAATGTGCACCTACGGTTGGCCACCAAAACACAAGCTCCGGCCACGGTAATGGTGTTGGCAGCCATAACAGCCAATGGTCGCTCAACGCTCCTTTGTTTCAAATTTCGTATTTAAAGTTTCTTAGGAGTACTACATTCTAAGGCAGATAATTGTCTATGCTCCACGACCAGGTTTTCGTATAGGCCCCGATATATCAGTACCTTCCTATGTTCGGTATTTTGATGATTTTAGGTACAATATTGACAGAAATTGCTTCAAATTTCGTATTTGAAATTCCGAATAGGTACTTCAGCCTGTGACAAAAAATTGTCTGTGCAGATCCACGTCTTCGTATAGCCCTTTATATCAGTACCTCCCTATATTCGGTATTTTAAAGATTTTAGCGACATTATTTATCGAAATTGTTGGAAATTTCGTATTTGAGGTTCCTAATACGTACTACAGCCTGTGACAAAAAATTGTCTATGCAAATCCAGGTCTTCGTATAGTCCCCATATATCAGTACCTCCCAATATTCGGTATTTTGATGATTTTCGGTACAATATTCACCGATATTGTTTGAAATTTCGTACTTGACGTTCCTAATAGCTATTACAGCCTGTGACAGAAAATTGTCTTTTCAGGTCCAGGTCTTCGTATAGGCCCCATATATCAGTACCTCCCTATATTCGGTGTTTTGATTATTTTAGTTACAACATTGACCGAAATTGCTTCAAATTTCGTATTTGGAATTCGTAATGGGTACTACAGCCTGTGACGAAAAAATGTCTATGCAGGTCTAGGTCTTCGTATAGCCCCGATATAACGGTACCTCCCTATATTCGGTATTTTAATGATTTTAGCGACATTATTCTCCAAAACTCTTTGAAATGTCGTATTTGAAATTCCGAATAGGTACTACAGACTGTGTCGGTACAGGTCCAGGTCATCGTATAGGCCTCATATATCAGTACCTCCCTGTATTTGGTATTTTAAAGATTTTAGCTACATTATTCGTTGCCAATGCAGGACCATATTTTCCTGTAGATCTCCATATATGGGGCTATATTCGGTATTTTTTGGATCTCAAAAAAACTTTTAACGAATTTTATTTTTTGCCATGACCTGTAGAACCTTTGCCATAATTTTCCCTGCTCCATGTAGCGCACAATAAACCTCACAAAACTACAAGACGCCTTCCGAAAGAAAGCTAAATTGAAAAATTGGAAATTATTTTTGATCTGTTCAAGGGAAATGATGGCAAATAAAACATTAAAACTTGTAAGGCACACATGCAGCCCTGCTCCTCCCTCCCCCACCCCTTTATTTTTCGTCAATAGTTTAACAAATATACTTGCAAGGTTTTTTTAAATATAACCCAGAAAACATGAAACGAAAAGGAGGACAAGGACAATGTGCAGTAAAAGTTCTTAGAATATTGACATATCAATAGTCAATTACTTTTTGTTGAGGGGGGATTGGGGGGTATTAAATATTTAATAGGGTGTGGGTGGTTTGAAGTGAATGTGTATAAGAGGCCTGCTAGTGAAAGTTAAAAAAAGGGAATATTTAGTTCATTTCCGGGTGTATTTTGAAGCGATATCCTGGTGTAAGGGAAAGAAGATGGATGGTATATTTCTGAGTCTTATCAACGCCATAGACCGGGGAAGGCTTAAACCCCTCCGAATTTTGTAAATTTGTATATATTATCTAAATATATTGGTTCGGAGAGGTCCCAAAAAGGGGTCTGTTTCATCCTATCGAATATGATTTCCTCAAAAAAGAGTTTTCAATATTAGTTTCCGTTTTCAGTTAAATTTTCAAGCCCTGAATTTTATTTCATAATTTTTGAAATTTACATTTTCTCTTTTTTCACCCCTCTTCATTGCAGGAACAACAATTCCCAGCCCTACAATGTGGTGCCGAAAAACGATAAAAATGCCATTATGCAAAATATTGCCAACAGCTATAGACGCTCTGATTTATCAGCATCACCCGCATCATCATCAGCATCGTCATCAGGAAATCAGGCACCGTCCCTGGCCTCCTCCTCATCTTCAGCCAACACCTATACGGCCACAAATCGTCGACGCCGCACGAAACGTCCACGCGATTGTCGTGTTAGCCACTGGTCAGAGTGGTCTGCCTGCAGCAAGACATGCGGTATTGGTGAAATGCATCGATACCGGCGCATCATCAAACATGGCAAACGGGGTGGAAGGCCATGTCCGCCATTGAAGGAGTCGAAATGGTGTGGCTCGGAAAAGGGTTGCCATTCACCAGAGACCTATTTTAATTGGTGAGTGGGGAAAATGGGGGAATTTTTTCGCCCGGTTTCAGAATCTGCAAGAAGCTAGGTTTTTATACCCTCCTCCATACATAGTATGAAGGGTAGCTCATCGAAATATTAATTTTGGCCCCCACACTGTATAAATATTCTTGATCATCGAACAATTCTAAGATGACCTTTAAGAATTAGCACTCTCCGTCCGTCCCGCATTCCGTCTGTTGTAATCACGCTAGAGCCAAAACGAATTAAGATGGGAAGCTAAAATTTTGCACCAATCTGCCGTTTGTCTGCAGGCAGGTCAAGTTCAAAGATGAGCTATGTCGGTACACGATATCGCATAGTCCCCACACAACGGTACCCTACGATATTCGGAATTTTGATGATTTGAGCTACATTTTTCAATGGATTTTTCTGAAATTCTACACAAAGTGTTCCTCGAGTCCAGTTTACCCCCTGGAAGATGGTTGTCTATATAGGTCCACGATATCGCATAGTCCCTATACAGCGGTACCCTCCGATATTCGGTATTTTCATAATTTTTGCCACATTTTTCAACGGAACTGTGTGAAACTTTACACAAGGAGTTCTTCGAGACTACTTTACCCCCTGAAAGAAAACTGTCGATATAGGGCTCAGATACTGTATAGCCCCCATACAACGGTACCTTCCGATATTCGGTATTTTGATGATTTTAGCGACTCTATCCATCGGAATTGTTTTAAATTTGGTATTTGAAGTTCCTAATAGGTACTACAGCCTGTAACAGAAAGTTGTCGATGCAGGTCCAGGTCTTCATATAGGCCCCATATATCAGTACCTCCCTATATTCGGTATTTTGATGATTTTAGGTACAATATTCCCCGAAATTGTCTCAAATTTTGTATTTAGAGTTCGTAAGGGGTACCACAGCCTATGACAAAAAATTGTCGGTGCAGGCCCACGTCTTCGTATAGGCCCCATATATCAGTACCTCCCTATTCTATTCGGTATTTTGACGATTTCAGCGACATTATTCAGCGGAATTGTTTGAAATTTCTTAATTGAAGTTCCTACTAAGTACTACAGCCTGTGACAGAAAATTGTCTATGCAGGTCCAGGTCTTCGTATAGGCCCCATATATCGGTACCTCCCTATATTCGGTATTTTGAGGATTTTAGGCACAATATTTACCGAAATTGTTTCAAATTTCGTATTTCAAGTTCCTAATAGCTACTACAGCCTGTGACAAAAAATTGTCTATGCAGGTCCAGGTCTTCGTATAGCTTCCATACATCAGCACCTCCCTATATTCAGTATTTTGAGGATTTTTAGTGACAATATTCATCCAAATTGTTTGAAATTTCGTATTTGAAGTTCCTAATAGGTACTACAGCTTGTGACAAAAAATTGTCTATGCAGGTCCAGGTCCTCATAGAGGCCCCATATATCAATACCTCCCTATATTCGGTATTTTTATGATTTTAGGTACAGTATTCACCGGAATTGTTTCAAATTTCATGTTTAGAGTTCTCAATAGGTACTACAGCCTGTGACAGAAAAATGTGTAGACAGGTCCAGGTCTTCATAAAGGCCCCATACATCAGTACCTCCCAATATTCGGTATTTTGATGATATTAGGTACAGTATTCACCGAAATTGTTTAAAATTTCGTATTTGAAGTTTGTAAGAGCTACTACAGCCTTTGACAAAAAATTATCTGTGCAGATCCAGGTCTTCATATAGGGTCGATATATCAGTAGCTCCCCATATTCGGTATTTTGACGATTTTAGCAACATTTTTCACCGGATATTTCTTTTGAACTTTCGTATTTGAAATTGTAATGGCTTCTGACAAAGGTTGCCTTTGAAGGTCCATGTCTTCTTATAGATCCCGATAAATAGGGCTATATTCGGTATTTTTAAAATTTTAACAAATATTTTGACGGATTTTAATTTTTTTTTTTTTTTTTTTTGAAAATTTCCAATTTTTTTCCAAATGATTCTAAGTTCGGCTCGGCCGAACATACCGCTTTTTTACTTGTTTGTTTTGATATCTTCAGGGAATCGTAATGAAATTTTTATCTTCTTGCAGGTTCTGAAATAGACTATTTAATTTTTCCCTCAAAAAAATTTTTCAATTGAATTTTGTGTCAAAATAAATTCAATTTTTTGTGTGACAACATTTTTTTGTTTCTTCTTTGTGAGCCATCCATCAAATTTTGACATTTATGTGCTTACACAACCACACACACACAAAAAATTGTTTTGCAAATCGAATTTACAATTCATATTTGAATATTCATTTGTTTATTTACATTTTTTCTTTTTGTGTTTTTTTTTTTTTTCAGGTCTGATACATGAATCTAAACGAGATAACCAACCGTATAAAACCTCTTTCAAAAAGGCGTATTATTTTTGATTTTATTATGATTTTTTTTTTAATAAAAACTAAAAACTCTCCAGACAAACAAACTCACACACACACCAACACAGAATAAGTATAAATAAGTAACAGTCCCAAACAAAAGAGAGAAAAAAAAAAAAACGAGAGAAAAAAATCCATCCCTTTTTTAGAAAACCCACACACAAAGAGAAATATTAAAAAATACTATATATAGAGAAAACAAAACTCAAACACAATTGTATTAATTTAAACTACAACAAAAAATTTACATATTAAAAAATAATAAATAAAAAACATAGATTTTAGGATATGAAAAATAAAATGGAAATACTCAAAAACCTACACACACAGAGACACCAAATACAGTGGGCTCTTTTTACAAAAATTCAGTGAAGCCATAATTCCACATGAAAGCTAATATTCCTTAGGAAAAGGTCCCCACTGTATTTTGGCCAAAAAAAGGATGCATAAGTCAAACATGTAAATCATATTTGTTTGAAATGTAGCAACAAAAACGAACCAAATAAATTGTGGCAAGGAAGCAAATAAAAGGTTTTAAACGATTTTTTTTGGGCAAAAATTTAGCAAAGCGCATAAACTGAAAAGTGTTTTTTTCTATGTTCCAAAATAAATTCATTTAATTTTTATTTGAAAAAAAAATGAAAACAGAAGAATTTTATTTTAAAACACTTGGAAAACCAGAAAAAATTCAACAGCAACAACATAAACATAATACCCTGGACAATATAAATAAATCACTTAATTAAATCCGAAAAAAAAAACATGCAATTGACTATTTGGCAACTAATTTCCATTAAGTACTTAAGACTTATTTTTTTCAACACAGAGGGACCTCTATGAAATGAAAATTAAAAAAAAAAATAATTTAATATTTTTCAATATTTGTGAAAAAATACAACTCACTTCTTAAAAATATTGGGCTTAACTCTGGTTTAGTAAAAACTCTTCAATTTGTAGATATTTTTTTCCAGTGGTAGGTATTTTTACCCTGATCCCGGGAAACTATAATTTTTTCTTTCTTGGGGGATTGACCCGGGACCACGGATTTTTGACCCGACTAGACCCGGATTCAACCACCCGATATAAAGTTATCGTTGGAAAGCTTATGAAAATACCTATCCAACAAGTGGTCACATGAGTGGTCACACTTCGAAAGTTATAGTAAAATATTCAATTTTTTTGGTCCCGGATTTTTTTATAAAACCCCCAAAATGTCGAAAAAGGGGCCATTAAGGGGGTCAAACAAATTGTGGCCAAATTATTGCTGACCCTCTTACCTTTCCCCGGAGTCATGGTAAAAGTATCTACCTCTAGAAAAAGTTTCGAAAAAATCGAAGAGTTTTTACTAAACTAGAGTTGTTTCAAATATTGTATCCAAGGGAGGTGTTCTTTTAATATATTTCAATATTTGTGAGGGGTCCCACTGTATTTAAATCCATTCTTATGAAGAGATAAACAAACTTGGCTCGATTATCATTATTGTTATCCATTCCCGGTGAGTGGCGTTGCCAACTGCTGAAATTGCATTGTGTTTGGCAAAGCGTTGTTGAAGAAGGGCTAAGTAGGTCGACTTACGTCTTATCAAACTTCTTGATATTGGAATGCCAAAAAATCGATCTTCAAGTGCGTTAACAGTTTTGAAGGCTTAAACTAAGGGGAATGCAATAAAATAAACAAAAACGATTTAGGGAAAAATCCAAAATGGAGTCAATTGATTTTAAAAATAAATATTACTTCACTTTGGTGATCGTCTGCAAAAAACTATGGTAACCTCCAATGTATTAGCCATGGTAGAAGAATACAGGTAGTCGCATTGTCACAGCTGCTGGGACAATGAACTGTCAAACCGATTTTGGAATTGAAAATGTTGAATGAACAAATTATTAAAATTTGTAAAAATTGTTAAAAAAAAAAACGCGAATTATAATAACATCCGAATGACGTCGTATAAGAAAACATATACGAATATACTTATATTTGAAAAAAATTTAAAATTTTTTGACATATCAATGTTACCAAGCGTTGATGCATCTACCTGTATTCTTCTACCATGCTCCAATGTATTAGCCATGGTAGAAGAATACAGGTAGTCACAGTGTCACAATGAACTGTCATTGTCCCAGCAGCTGAGACAATGCGACCGATTTTGAAATTGAAAATGTTGAATGAAAAATTATTAAAATTTTTAAGATTCGTTAATTGACAAAAATCAACTAGGATGGTAATGCATAATCGAGTCAAATAATTTGAAATATGATATTTTTTCATTCTTCCTAAAATTGCCAGAACAACTCTAATTTAGTAAAAACTCTTCGATTTTTTTCGACATTTTTTCCAGAGGTAGGTATATTTACCCTGATTCCGGGAAACTATTTTTTTTTCTTGGGGGACGGACCCGGGACCCCAGATTTTTGACCCGAACATCCTGGTTCAACACCCGACTTGGACCCGGATCCACTTACCAATATAGGCATCGTTTGAAAGCTTATGAAAATACCAGTCCGGGTTTTGCGGATAAAAAGACCCATATCTCTGAACCCGAAAAAAGTATTAGCACAAATTGTAGCATTTTAAAAAGGTAAGCTATAATTTGGCGTAAATTTTGTTGACCCCCATAGTAGGCCCTTTTTGGGGGTTTTATAAAAATACCGGGTCCATCATGTGACCACTTGTTGGATAGGTATTTTCATAAGCTTTCCAACGGTACCTTTTTTACCTTTATCGGGTAATTGGATCCGGGTCTAGTCGGGGTCTTGAACCCGGGCTTTGGGGTCAAAAATCTGGGGTCCCGGGTCCGTCCCCCAAGATAAAAATAGTTTCCCGGGATCAGGGTAAAAATACCTACCACCGGAAAATTTTTCGAAAAAATTGAAGAGTTTTTACTAAACTAGAGTTAAGCCAGGAAATCTCACAGCAACAACAGTAGCAATATTCAAATACAACAACAGATTTTTTTCTGAAAATTAAAAAAGAAAGAGTAAATTGAAAAATTAAAAAAGTCCACACTTTTAACAACACACTTGTAAAGTTCTTAGAGGTACAAAGGTAAGTAATAAACAATTAGAAATGTTTCAAAACAAGAAAGAAAGAGAAGAAAAAAACAAAACAAAATACTCCCCCAATAAAGAAGAAGAGAGTTAAGGGGGCAATATATACCCTTTAGGCCCAAGAGGAGGGACCGATATTTTGAAAATTTTTACAAATTTTTTTTAGAGGAGGAGATATTTTGATATTTAAAAAAAAAATTAGGGTTTTAATATTTTTTTAGATCTGAGTTTTTTTTTTAAATATTAATGATAGTCCTGCTAAGTAAGTATAATTTTCAATAATTTGGAAAAATGTTTCAACACAATTTATACTTTTTTCCATAAAAACTTCAAGGACATCCCTCTCTTTTTACATCCCCGAAAAACTCTCTTTTTCTTTTTGAAATCAAACAAGGTAAAACGTAGTTTTAAGGCAAAAAAAAAAAAAAATAAATAAATAATTACATGTTTAAATAACTGAAAAAAGAGGAAGGATACAAATCTTTTCCGAAGACAAAAACCAAGAAAAGAATATAACTCCAAACCAAAAAAGAAAAAAAAAACAAAAAAAAAAAAAAAACTCCCTAAAACTTATTCAATATTTATATAAATAGAATTTCTTTTAATTTAAGGTTTTAGGAAATAAGAGAAAATAAAAAATGAACAGAAGAAATAACTTAAATATAAAGGCAAACGCAACACACAGACATACACCATGATCATTGGCAATAGGATTTGTTTTCATTTGCAATATTGAAAAAATAAATAATAACAAAAAAAAAAAAATAAATAAATAAAAAACCTCCCAACTTGTAGATATTGTACCTTATAAAAAATAATAATAATAAAAAATATATAAATACAGAAAAATCAAAATGTCTTAAGAAGGAAAAAAAAAACCAAAAGACCGACATAAATCAAGCAAATCAAGCCCAACAACAACAATCAGTCAACATTGAAAAGAAAATCCAAATATGTGTTACAACAATATTTTCCAAAAACAAAAAAATAAATAAATAAAAGTCAATAAAAAAACTCTTTAATGCTAAAGAACAATTGCCCTCTAAAATAAGATAAACTGAAACCAAAAAAAAAAAAAAATAAAAAAAAATAGTCATTGGCATTAAAATAAAAAATGAAAAAATGCAGAACCTTAAATATTAAATATTAAGTCGTCGAACAATTATAATTTATGTAATTATAATCATAAAAATTAAAAAAAAAACGGAAAACTAAAAATGAACATAATTTTTTGTATAAAATAAAAAAAAACTACAGATGATATATAATATTAAATACATATAAAAATATAATAAAAAAGAGAAATAAATAAATAAATAAAAAAACTTAGAATAAAAATCCAAAAGAATATGAAAACTAATTGTTTTATTTTATGAGATTTTTTGGAAGAAAAAAATGGTGAGTTTTGAAAAAAAAAAATATTGAGGATTCATTGAGGATTTTTTTGTTGAAATGCGTACTATAATTGTACGAAAAGTACTTAAAAGTACTAAATTTGGTATTGGGTAAAGGAATATAGCTGCAATCCGAAATTTGATATGGATGTGACTGTTGGTATCTGTGGAAGGAACTGGTTTCGGATATGCCACTTGGTTCTTGAAAATATTTCTTAAAAAAATTAAAGTTTAAGGTCCTTGAAAAAAATTCTTAAAAAAAATCCAAATTTAAAGCTCTGTTGGTCCTTGAAAACATTTCTTAAAAAATCCAGGTTTAAGGCTTTGTTGGTCCTTGACAAAAATTCTTAAGAAAAATTCAAATTTAAAACTCTGTTGATCCTTGAAAAAAATTCTTTAAAAATCCACATTTAAGGCTATGTTGGTCCATGAAAAAAATTCTTAAAAAAATCCACGTTTAAGGCTCTGTTGATCCTTGAAAACATTTCTAAAAAAATCCAAGTTTAGGTCTCTGTTGGTTCTACAAAAAATTTATTTGAAAAATCTACGATTAAGGCTATTTTGGTCCTTGAAAAAAATTATTTAAATAATTCAAGTTTAAGGCTCTGTTGACCATTGAAAAAAAAAAAATATTTAAAAAATTCAGGCTTAAAAATCTGTTGGTCCTTCAAAAAAATTAAAATAAAAGATTATTTAGTCCTTCAAAATATTATTTAAAAAAATCAGGATTAAGGATCTGTTGACCCTTCAAATAATTAAAATAAAAATAGTTAGTCCTTCAAGAAAATTATTTAAAAAATCCACGTTTAAGGCTCTGTAGGTCCTTGAAAACAATTCATAAAAAATCCACTTTTAAGGCTCTGTAGGTCCTTGAAAACAATTCATAAAAAAATACACGTTTAAGTCCCTGTTGGTCCTTAAAAAAATTTCTTTAAATAATCCACGTTTAAGACCCTGTTGACCCTTCAAAATTATTTCTAAAAAATTCTTGATTAAGGCTCTGTTGGTTCTTCAAAAAATTTGTTTAAAAAATCCACGACAAAGGCCCTGTTGGTGCTTCAAAAATAGTAAATTAAAAAAAATACAGTTAGTCTTTCAAGATAATTATTTGAAAAATCCACGATTAAAGCTCTATTGGTTCTCAAAAAAAAAAAATAATAATAATAAAATAAAAAATTATTTAGTCCTTCAAAAAAAAATATTTAAAAAAATTAGGATTAAGGATCTGTTGGTACTTCAAAAAAAAATTAAAGTAAAAATTATTTGGTCCTTCAAAATATTATTTTAAAAAATTCAGGATTAAGGCTCTGTTGATCCTTCAAAAAAATTAAAATAAGAAATTATTTAGTCCTTTAAAAAAGTCCTAAGGATCTGTTGGCCCTTCAAAAAATTAATATAAAAAAACAGTTTGTCCTTCAAGAAAAAATATTTAAAAAATCCACGTTTAAGGCTCTGTTGGTCCTTCAAAAAAAAAAAAAAAAAAAACAAAAATAAATAAATAAAAAACAGTGAGTCCTTCGAGAAAATTATTTAAAAAATCCACGTTTAAGGCTCTGTTGGTGCTTCAAACAAATTCAATTAAGAAATTAGTTCGTCCTTCAAAAAAAAAAAAAAAATATTTAAAAAGTCTAAGATTATGCCTCTGTTGGTCCCTTAAAAAAAAAATAAATAAAAAAATTAGTTAATCCTTCAAAAAATTTATTCTAAAAATCCTCCAAAAAAAAAAAAAAAAATATTTAAAAAATCCGCGTTTAAGGCTCTGTCGTTCCTTTAAAAAATATATTTGAAATATCCATGTTTTAGGCTCTGTCGGGCCTTAAAAAAATTAATAAATCCGTGTATAAGGTTTTGTTCGTTCTTCAAAATATTTGTTTGAAAAATCCATGTATAAGGCTCTGTCGGTCCTTAAAAAAATTAGTAAATCCGTGAATAAGGCTCTGTTAGTCCTTTAAAAAAAAAGAAGTAAATAATAATAATAATAAGTATGTTAGTCCTTCAAAAATAATTATTTAAAAAATAAAAGTTTAAGGCTCCTTTAAAAAATCTGTTAGTCCTTCAAGATTTTTTTTAAAAATACAGGCTCTGTTCGTTATTCAAAAAAAAATATATATATTTAAAAAATCTGTTAGTCCTAAAAAAAATTTAAAAAAAATCGAAGTTTAAGGCTCTATTGGTCCTTTAAAAGTCCACATCTAAAGATCTGTTTTTTTTATTTAAATATCCAAATTTTGTCCTTGAAAAATTTTCAATAAATACCTACATACGTTCCTTGAAAACCTTTTCCAATAAAATCCACTTTTCGTCCTCTCAAAGATTTTTTAAAAATCCACTTTTGATCCTATGAAAAAAATCCTTTATGAAATATTTAAACTGCTAATAAAATAAAAATTCTTAATCATTTTTCAATTCAACCCTTTTTTATTTATCTCCATACCTTCATTTACAACTTAACATGCTCTAAAAATAGCCACAAATTTTTTTATCATTCACCTTTCATTTCTTTTTTTTTTTTTTTGCAAACATTCTCTCAAATTTCCATGCATTTGTTGTTTTGGGGTTTTCCCAAATCTCCAGGCACTTGCAAACCAATTTCTCTCTGCTTTGTGTGTGTTTGTTTGTTGGTTTTCTTCCTCCGAGTTTTTTTCTTTTTTGTGCATTCCAAAAACGATAAGCGAACAACGACATTGTGGCTTGTCGGCTTTCACTTTTTCCCATTGCTGACCCCGACCGCCAACGTCAGATGCGGCAGCAGCAATTTCAAAGCACCCGCGACAATAATGCAAATACCCGCAAATGCAAATGAAGCCGTATAATCACCGGTCAGATCGTTCAAGATACCACCGGCGGTTGTGCCAATAAAAACGCCCATTCCCATGGCTAAGGCCGTCAAACCAAAGGCATTCGTTAATTTATCCAGGCCCAGCGAACGGACATAGATAATGGCACGCAATGTTGAGTAGAATGCTAGATGAAGATAGGAAAAGGGGAAAATGAATGGAAATGGACGAGCAGAGAAATAGGGAAATTATAAACCCAAAAATTAACAGAGCACCCTAGCAAATTGGGGTCATCGCAGGTAATGCAGCTGTAATATTGGTCTGATGAATGATGACCACCACCAAACAGAGAGAGAGAGAGAGAGAGAGAGAGAAAATGACCAAAACCATGAAATAAATGGTAAACATATGCTTACGAAACGGGTTAATGGGAACATGGGTGGAAGTGTCCAGAAAAGGGAGGAGGAGAAGTGTTTGGATATCTCGCTGTAATTGTGGTAAACAAAAGCATGCAGTGTCAGATAAAAAGCAATGTGATGCAACTTCCATATTTTGGAGGTAAAATTAGTCCTTGAATAAAAATGTTTAAATGATCCACTTTCTGATTGTCCTTACAAAATCTTCTCAAAAAGTTTTAAAAATCTGATATAACCTAAAAAATCTTGTAAAATTAATTTTAAAAAATATTTTAAACTCTGAAAAAAATATTAAAAAGAAATCCACCTCTGATATTCTTTGACGTACATATTCTGATATTTAAAAGAGTCCTTGACAAAATTATTTAAAACTACACATCTGACAGCTGCAATAATCCATGAGAAAACTTGCCAGAAAAAACCTTAATTTTTTGGAGTATACATATCTGATAAAAGTCCTTGAAAATATTTTTCAACAATCAAATTTTTATAGAAAATTTTTTTTATAAAAATTCCTAAAACCCACAAATCTGGCAGGACAAATAAATCTCGAAAAAAAATCTTGAAGAAACTCAGGTATGTCTGGCGGGTAAAAAAAAAAAATCTCGAAAAAAAATCAGAAAAAAGGTTAGGTATGTTTGGTCCTTGAAAATATTGCTTTAAAAATTTTTGATGGCTCAAATATTTCTCCAAAAATCCTTTAAAAATTTACACCCAATAGCCATTAAAGAAATTTAAATCCAGTTAACTTAAATAGTCCTTGAAAATATTTTTTCAACAATCAAAATTCCTATAGAAAAAGGTCATATAATAATTCCTAAAACCCCTAAGTCTGGCAGGTCAAATAAACCTCGAAAAAATCTTGAAAAAATTTAATTACGCCTGGCGGGTCAAAAAAAAAAACTGGAAAAAATCAGAAAAAAATTTAGGTATGTTTGGTCCTTGAAAATATTGCTTAGAAATCAGTTTTTGATGGCTCAAATGGTCCTCCAAAATTCCTATAAAAATGTATGTTTAATAGCCAATAAAGGACAAAAAGTGCTTACAAATAAACCTTAAAATCCAGGTTATCTGAAAATGTCCTTGAAGAATAGTTATCTTTAAACTCCAATCCAATCTTCATCCAATATTTTTCGTACCTATATAGGACCCAATTCCAAACCACAGCCATACCCAGAAACCAAGAGAGAGCAAAATATCAAATTTCGCGTTTCTAGCTCTATCGCTTCACCCAATACTAAATTTAGTACTTTTCGTACAACTATAGTACACATTTCCAAAAACCAACTCAATACCT